AGAAACACATCTGGCTGTGTGTAAAATTGGACATTCAGAAATGACGTTCATTTTTGAAGTGATAAAAACGCATGACAACATCGAAGAAAGGAATATGAAATATAAGTTGCAATATTTCTAGTAATCAAATATGTAATAGAGTATTATCAAATGCATTTCCTTTCACTTTAAATATCTATATTATTTTTATAGCATATGTGTCGTCACTAATGATTATTATTTTTATGGTGTATCAATACTGAATTTACGAAAAAGGTAACGTTGTTACTTCGTTGCGAAGGTATTCTTTATTATGTATTAATAGATGAAAAATCTATCTCTCACTGTGTTTGCGTAGAACCGTTTTAAGTTGTATTTCAATACAAATCCAACAAGTACAATTGAAACGATTAAATCCTTTGTACATGGAATGATTGCTTCGTTGCACCACTTTGTGAGGTTACGTTTCAACAAATGACAGTAGCATTCGGTTGAATACAAATCTGATTTGAAGCGTATGTGAAAAAAATGCTAGAAGCGGCTGGGATTAACGCATCTTAGTACACTCTGACTGCAGCGAATTCAAGTTTGAATATCTCCGATAAATGAAAATTTATGAATGTGGTCACAGCGAGATATTTTGCGGGGGGTCCTTACTGGGGTTATCGTGACCCAGGTAGACCGAAAATCCTCCTTAACAGTAAGGTAAAGAATCCATTTAATATATATCTTTATCTATTGCGTGTTTATCATTTCAAATGACACCTCGAACAATATGTACCATAGTTTTGAAACTCTTTGTTTTTTATCTATTCATATATCTATTCTATATAAAGTACTTAACTTTATTATATCAGTGCCATTATTCCTATTTTTTAATTTTGAGTACTTTTAATCACATATTAATAAATGTTCTTCAACAGGTGTTTGTTAACATTTTTGCTAATACAAGTTACTTTGTAAATGCTACTTTTAAAGTGTAGCTTTCTTCCTCTTTTTATAGTTCTTTATTTTCTGGAATGTTGTTATAGTTTTAGTTCTTAACTGATGTAAAAGTATTTATATATTTTCGCATTATTTACAAAGGCATCTGTAAAACAATATTTTTGGATTTTGGTTATTACCTCTGAAAAATTACTATTTTATAAAATAAAGTAAAATCTAGAATGAATTGAAATTGTAGATAAATATGTATATTATGATTATATATATTTCCCAAAATTATAATATTGTAGATATGTAAGTCATAAAATTAAAGAATTATTGATTGTTAAAAAGTATTAACGCAATAGAGTCATTTAAATGACTACGAAGCTACTAGCACTAATTGTTATATAACGCAAGTATAAAAAAATATTCTATCCAATAAATAAATGTTTTACTACTTAGATTTTGATCAAGACTGCCAATGTAAGACTGAACTACTGATGCGTAACATACTTGCCTTTGATGTTAAGTACGGACAGCATCAATGGGAAACTGTTTTTCATGCTTTAAGGTGCCTTTTCCACCAGCCACCACTGATCAATCTTTGTCATTGGAACAAAAAGACGGTAATTATTTATAACTGTCGTTTATATTAATTTTTAATGAATTATCCATATTTCCTATGAGTTTTATACTTTTTATATTTTATTATAATTTCTTAACAAGTTCAATTTTTTGATAATAGAGAATTATTATATTATTATAATATTTATTGGTCAATTTAACATTCCAATTTGATGTTATAATTCTAAGATTTATGTAATTTTACATTTAATTACACTAATTTATTTAACATAATACATTCGAACTATAGAAATTGTTAGTAATAAAAATTGTATTAAGAAAGTATTTATTATAATATTATATATATATATCTATCATTATACTTTATTATATCTTTTGCTATTAAGAAAAAGACCATCTTTTTGTTTTAATTATACTATTAATTCCATTGCATACCATATTAAAA